TGGGGCAGACCATGTGCTCAGAGAAGCTTAGTTTGAATAAACATAGCCCCAATTTCAAGCCCTGGACTGTTTTCTCCAAACAAAGGGTCAGTGATAACAGCATCAAGCCCAACTTCAGATTAGGGGGTTGGTGCGGAGGTCACAGAGGTCAGGCCAAAGCCTCATTTCTACCTGTTTTTTCACTAGTCAAGAAATGAAAATACACAGGTGACAAATGGAAGACATTCAAAATACCAGCAGGAAATAAGACATTGACTCAAATCCAAGAGGGGAACCTGCCCTAAATTGCAAACTGGAAGAGAGAAAAACTTGGAAAGCAGCAGTGCTGTTCCACTCTGAAATGAGTGAGGCCAAGTAGGTGAGAAGAGGTTTCGAAAGACAACTCCTACCCTGAAGAGGCTGGGCTATTTTTAGACAGTAAAGGAAGAGGTATTGGGTCCAGGGAGAGATGCATCCTCTCTCTCCAATGAGAATCACTTTGAAGGCTGAGGGCAGCTGCAGGCACCGGAAGGAGGAATGAAATGGAGATCAAAGAAACAAAACTAGGAGAACACTGACATTTTTCATTGTATACCACCTGTTGTGAGGATCTCAAGACACTTCACAAGCTTATTTCAAGAGATCTGAGAGAGAAAATTCAACAAGAGCTTGACCAAGGTCATTCACAAAGGGTGATGAGGGGCATAGCTGCTGGCCACAGCGACATCCACTCTTAGTCATCTATTCTATGTGGAGAGCTCAGAGCGTGTTCCCTGGAGCCTGGCACAGAGGCGAGCACCGCTAGTCCCAGCTACTCAGAAAGTAAGGCAGGAGCTGGGCATGGTGGTTCATGGCTGTAATCCCAGCACTTTGAGAGGCTGCGGCAGGAGGATCCCTTGAGGCCTGGAGTTCGAGACCAGCCTGGGCAACAGAGTGAGACTCTGTCTCTACAAAAAACAAAAGTAACTGGCTGGGCGTGGTGGCTCAAGCTCGAAGTACCACTACACAACTATACAGGAAAAAAACTTGGAGACAAAAATAGAGAAAGAATAATTAGATTTACAATTAAAAAAACACAACTAGAAGAAAGTCATCTTACCCATTGTTTCCAGAAGGAATAATATAACCTAGATCAGATTAATGGCTCTTAAGGAGGAAGATCTCAATACCTCCTTCGGTTACTTTTTAAAAATCTAGCAACCCTCCAGCGCAGACAATCCTTTTGTAATCCTAACTTAAATCTTGCCTGCTGGGCTTCGGTCCATTTCTGTCCTTTGTCCTTGAAAACAAGCCCAGCTCCCTCCACATAAAAATCTTTCAGAAACTTCTAAGAGGAGGAGGGTTAGCTACCAAGATCACACACATTTGCTTCTTAAGGAAAACACACCCCAACTTAGAGATGAGAGGCAGGAATTGACATGTCTACAGGATCTGAACTTGGGGCTTTACTGGTAACTTCAAGTCACACTTCACCAAGACTAAGCTGATTTAATATAAAACTTTAAATCAGTCTTTTCCAATGTACTCCACTGAAGAGACTTCCCTCCCTTCGAAAAAGCTTAATGAAAATCTCAGCACTCATCTACTCTCTTTGCTGTAACTTAAATCTCCACCTCCACTGGCTCTTGCACACCAGCGTTTAGCCATATTTTTTAACTAGGTTTCTCCTGAATTAAGAACCCTTTACTAGAGCACTGCTTTCTACATACGTGGACTTCTTCTCTCTTACGTCCTTCACACCTAATTAGGTTGCATCTCTACTTCTTTGTCACCTTTTCATTAATCCTAGTTTTGATTTCTCTTCTAAAGAGGTCATAAATTCGTCCTGATTATTTTATTCACCTAGATGTTCAAGTTTATCCCGCACTATATTTGACATCTTTAAATTATTCTTTTTTTTTTTTAAGTACTTACTGCCTATTTTACACTGTCCTAAACGGTGTGATGTAAAGGAAATAATGAACATGGCCCCGATCCTTAGGAAATGAAGACATACATAAAACAACAGTAAGATATTGGTTTCAAGGTCGGGGGCTAGTCACAGAAAGCCCTGTGGCTCTGATAAATACAGAATTGGACCTAAAAATAAGTGTAGAATTTGGTATAAAGGAGAAGGCTACTTTAGATAGAAACAATAGTATAATTCAAAGCAGGAGGCAATCTGAAGTAAGAGTTGCATAAAGGCTTTCTGACATTTCCTTCTTTGCCCCCCAAAAGGGGCGTGTGCCTTTTTGTCTTCAAATTTTATTTGAGAATTAGCTATCCATGAATCACAAATTTCCTTTTATCCTGATTACCCACAGCCACCACATATTAGAGCAACTCACAGAGCTTAATACGCCTGGTCCACAGAGCTTAATACACTAGAGTAATCACAAGGCAGGCTTTTAGAATAATCTTAGGTAGAGACCTTTTACTAAGGAGTGTGGGGAGTCTGGCATCTCTAGGGTCCTGGGCACACAAAGACAGCTACGCCTCTTGGGTGCTAAAGATATGCACCGGTCATTTTGCTGCCAGACCATTCAAGGGTCATTCAACTTCAGCTAAGTATTTCATACACAGCTTCAGGACAGACAAAGCCATCTAAAGCAGTCTGAAGCACTGAATTCCTATTTTAAACAGGGAATGGGTAAATGGTCTTGCCAGGGATGCCCCTTTTCCACTGTTTTCCTGGAGAGCTCTTCTCCACCTGCCTTAGGACTCACAGTTCAAGCATCCCTTCCTCTATGAAGCCTTTCCTTTTTTTTTTTTTTTTTTTGAGATAGAGTTTTGCTCTGTTATGCAGGCTAGAGTGTACTGGCGGGATCTCAGCTCACTGCAACCTCAGCCTCCTGGGTTCGAGCAATTCTCCTGCCTCAGCCTCCCAAGTAGCTGGGATTACAGGCGTGCACCACCACGCCTGGCTTATTTTTGTATTTTTAGTAGAGACCAGGTTTCACCATCTTGACCATGCTGGTCTCGAACTCCTGACATAGTGATCCACCCGCCTTGGCCCCCCAAAGTGCTGAGACTACAGGGGTGAGCCACCATGACCAGCCTGTGAAGCCTTTCCTAATTCCTCTAAACTGAGTTAGGTTGCCTCCCCTGTGCTTCCATTAACAACGTACACATACTTCTAGAGCAGCACTTAACCACACTGTGTTTTTGTTTTTGTTTTTGTTTTTTTGTTTTTTTTTTGAGACGGAGTCTCGCTCTGTAGCCCGGGCTGGAGTGCAGTGGCCGGATCTCAGCTCACTGCAAGCTCCGCCTCCCGGGTTTGCGCCATTCTCCTGCCTCAGCCTCCCCAGTAGCTGGGACTACAGGCGCCCGCCACCTCGCCCGGCTGGTTTTTTGTATTTTTAGTAGAGACGGGGTTTCACCGTGTTAGCCAGGATGGTCTCGATCTCCTGACCTCGTGATCCGCCCGTCTCGGCCTCCCAAAGTGCTGGGATTACAGGCTTGAGCCACCGCGCCCGGCCCACACTGTGTTTTAATTGTTTACATGTCTGACTAGCCATAAGCTCTTTGATGGCAAGGGTAATGTTTTACCCATAACTGATTGCACACTTAATAGGCACTCAATAAACACTTGTTAAATGCATTAATAATGGGTGATATTGGAAGTCTTAAAGAATGGCAACATACTTTCTGGATTCCAGACCAAAATTACAGTAAGAATTAACAATGAAGGCTAAACTCTTATTATACATTTCTACTACATACACCACTCCTGGCCAGAAAAAGAGGCCAAAGATTTGAGAAGATTGTTCTAACAGTGCTGATCACTGCCAAGTTACCAGCCAAGAATAAGAGCACTTGCAGTATTAAGAATGAACAGAGTCATATCTAAAACAATTTCTACATTTCAGGCTTATTTGCCTGCCTCAGGAGAATAGAAACAATGATGAATAAGAGACCTTGGAAGGGTCACAATGTCCACCGATCACAAAACCTTGTAGCAAACTGTGATTCAACACAACTTCTGAAATATACAGGAAAGTTGTTCACCTTCTTACCAAACCTACTCCAGGTTCTGCTAATGAATACAGGGCTGAACTAAGTCCTCCCAGAACCCTGCCAGTTGTACAGTGGCATTCTACATCATTCCTCATGGGATTTACTCATCACTGAAGAGATATAGGCAAAGCAATACAATGCTGTGGTCTCAAATGCCTCTCCCAGTAACAACCTCGTACCTCACAAGGCTATTGTGTTTACAGGCTACTAATAAGACACAAAATCTGATCTGATCCTGTGGGAATAAAGCCCTGGTCTCAAGTGATTAAACAAATGTAGTCTACTTCTGGGTTCCCAAAGTTGTGGGGTTTATTTAGTTGAAGAAAGCATAAGGACCAAAACCCAGACAAGTGAAGGGATGGAAAGGAACTTTGCCTCTGAGGATCATCTGCAGCTGAGTGGCATGTGGCTCTTGGCATATAGTGAATGAGATAAGCAATGCTCAAGGGCCATCCAGAACTTTTTGCTGACAGATATCTGGCTTCTTGCATGTTATCATTCCTAAGAAGCCAAGATGCTCCAGTTAGCCTCTTGAAGGGCCAAAAAAAAATTTGTTTTGACCCTAGGCAAGAGCAATTACCAAGCCAGTAACTCTGACTAGGTGTTTTAGCTATTTCTTTCTGCCACTGCAGTCTTACATAACCCCAGCTGTTACATTAACACCTGCAGCTACATTAGTCACACCTTAGCCCTTCACAAGGTATGTGTTCCTACTGTCCTTTCCCAAGAAGGGAAACTGAGTCATAGCATATCAACCGGCTTCCCAAGCACATGCTTAGTGTATAGTGAGGCCTCAATTGAACCCAGGTGGCCTTCCTACTATTCACCTCTTCTCATGGATGAATCTCAGCATGCCCACCCCTGCTGCTTTTTCCTTCAACCTAAATTGCCTGCACAGATCACATGTGATCCTTTAGAGTAAACAAGAGCTTCTAGTTATCTTTCCCAAGAAACAGGAAGGTTAACGAGGAACATTGAGCAGGAGAGGGTGGGTTTGGAAAGAGGTGGCTCCCAACAGGACTCACCTTGGAGCTGAGGTCCTCTCGTCGGTTTCCTGCCTTATTCCTGCGCAGTTTGATGGATGGAGATCTCAACAGATTCTTGATCCGGCTGGTAATGGTTGACCCTTCCACAGCCATTATGACGAGAAACCCCTTGGGACAGTCCCCGGCACAGTCCTGGGTCTTGTCTCAACAGCGGCACTGTCTTCCCACTCCACAGGGCTTCCCAATATGCCCTCTCACTGACCTGAGATGGCAGAAGCCAAGTATAACAGTGTCTTACCTTCTGCCTAGCGAAGTCTGCAGTTTTTACCTATGGGTATTGCTCTCACCATTTTCCTCACCCCCACCTTCTAGCCCTGCACAGTTTCTTGCAACGTCGGAAGGAAAGGCTCACGAAAAAGGGGGGAAATCCTAAGCCACTAAGAAATGCCAGGCCCACGCCCGCCAGAGGCGTTTAACTGGCGAGATGGATGGGACCTAGTTGGTCTCGTGGACGATCTGGTTCCCGTTAATGCCCAACTGCTCCCATGGCAACTGTGGAGTCCAACCGAGGAGGCCGCCGAGACCACCAGGGATTTCCGCAGGCCTGGACACCTGCGCTAGCGCGGGTGGGGACTCGGCGCGGCGGGGCTCGCCGCAGCCCACAACTCGTTCTGCCACGGGAGCCTCCCTCCCCCACTCCCTATCCTCCAGAGCTCGCTCTCCGCCCTCCACAGCGGCTTTGGACCTTTATCTTTCACCCGCCTCTGAGGCCCCTGCTACTCGTCAGCGCCCCCGTTCGGGCCAGCCTCACCAGCCTCGGCGAGCGAGGGCCACCCCGCTCACAGCGCCCTCGGGCATCGCGTTCGGCAATTTCAGCTCCGCCGCTGTAGCGGCAGTGGTAGAAGCAGCAGCAGGAGCTATGGTGGCACGATCGGCTCAAAACGCGAACTACCGCCTGGGCCAAGCTGCGCGCCAGGTGGGCGGAGCCGATGCGAGGGGTGCGGCCTGTAGTCAGGAGAGCGCTTCCACAGTGGACGAGCAAGATTTACGGGGGCGGAGCCAATGAAAGGGCCCAGGAAGCAGACGGCTTGGGACTAGAGAACCACTGAATCCGCACAATTGCGGGTACCGCTTTTAGAGGAAGGTCAACAGAACATGGCTTCAGAATTGAGAGAACCAAGCCTTTTATGGTATTATCAGGCCTGGTCCCCCATGTAACTGCACTTCCCAGAGCCCCAAGACGATAACCACGCCTCCAGAGTGTTAAGGTTGCCATTTGATAGGCCCGAGGGACCGTAGCTGAAACTCGTAGCTCAGAATTACAAGACTGAGCTACAGCCTAAGAGCTCTGCTCCCAGCGACCACAAGTGTTGAGATTTAAAGCGCCTGAAGTAGTTTCTGCTCGCAGCCAGTCCGGCACGTAGACTCAACGTGGAAAGGATTATTCTGAATAACGCAATTTAATAGCTAAGAATTTAATAGTGTTTTTGCACTGGGCAACCTGATTGGTCATTATGAAAGGGGAAAGGGTGGCCTCGAACAGAGCTTTGGGCGTGCGGGGGCAAGAGAAGACAAGTGAATGTGCTATGTTAATAATACTGCAGGTTTCATGGTTTCTTTAGCCTCCGACGTCCCATTGTGCTTCCTCAGCTAAAGCTGACCAGCAGCACTTCGTTGCTCCAGATCTTTCCTCGTTCCATTTACTTGTGAATCCTTTTCTCTAGGGCTGTTCCTTGCTGAGGTCACTGTTGAGCTTGCTGATACTAGATCGAGGGGTAGTTTTTCTAACTCATGTCGGGGGAGGCAGAGGGAATACACGGGAATACACGGAAATGTTATATGAAATATGTATTTCCTCTGTATTCTCCACTTACTACCATAAGAAATTATGAAAAAGCCTAACCCAGAGACTTGGGCCCCAAGGGAATAGTACACTGGTGTGTCCGTCTCACCCTATCCAGATCTTTTGAATCCCTGTGGAGATGACATGTGTCTGCAAGAGGGAAGAACCTCTAAGAAATTATTATACCTTATGAAAAAGCCTAAGCCAAAGACAAGGGACCCAAGGGAATACTACACTGGTCTGTCTCACCCTACCCAGATCTTTTGCAGCCCTGTGGAGAAGACATGTGATAGCAAGAGGGAAGAACCCCTAAACTCATTGCTTGTGTACAATGGTGAGCCTTGTACAGCCAAGTGGCAAAGCACATATGTGCTTGTGTATACTGTAGCCACATACTAAAAATGAGATTTGTAAAGCTCACAAGTTGACATGGAGATGATGCATGTCATCTCCTGGAAGACCAACTGGCAATAACATGTGGCCTTCTTCCCTTCAACCATGCAACTGCAAATATTATGAAACATAAAATACGATTTTCACATTTATTTCCCAAGTCTGGAGGAAGAAGGCAAGAACCATTAGCTACAATATGCAAGAGATAGTTGGTTCCCTCAACCTCTTGCTAGTTACATGATGCAACCTCTCCATGGGAGTAAAAGCTAATAAATGGTGCCACCTGGTGTCTTTACTTGCATGCTGCAGACCACAGCAGCTGCCATCTCCACGCATTAAACTAGAGTAAAAATGTGCCCAGAGCCATCCCTAATCCTCTCCAGATCATTCTGGTGTCCACTAACGGTTTTCTCACCTAATCACTCATGGCCAGGTAAATGGTTTACGAAGTATCATTGGTCATTTATTTCATGAAAAACAACTGAAAGCAGTGTAATGAGGATTTCTTAAGTCTGAAACCTGGGTACTTTCTGTCTTAGACCAAAGCCACACTTTTTTTTTTTTTTTTTTTAAACAGAGCCTCACTCTGTCGCCAGGCTGGAGTGCAGTGGTGATCTCAGCTCACTGCAATCTCCGACTCCCGGGTTCAAGCCATTCTCCTGCCTCAGCCTCCCAAGTAGCTGGGATTACAGGCACGCGCCACCATGCCCAGTTAATTTTTGTATTTTTAGTAAAGACAGGGTTTCACCATGTTGGCCAGGAGGTCTCGATCTCCGGCTCACGATCTGCCCGCCTTGGCCTCCCAAAGTGCTGGGATTACAGGTGTGAGCCACCACGCCCGGCCCACACATTTTTAATTCTTCACAATTCAGTCCAACTTTTATTGTCTAGGTACTATGCTGCCTTTGAGATACCAATATAGAAATAGGCTATAGGCTATTCCCATTCTTCATGAATTCCTCAGGAAATAACAGTCCCAGGTCTAATGTGAACAGAAGCATTATTCACTTTTCTCCACTCAGATTTACAGCCATTGTATACATTTCCATGACCACATGATCCCATTAAATTATAATACCATATTTTTACTGTACCTTTCCTATGTGTAGACACACACTTACCATGTGTTAAAACTGCCTATGATATTCAGTGCAGTAACATGCTGTACAGATTTGTAGCCTAGGAGCAACATAGCCTAAGTGTGTGGTTAAGCGACACTATCTAGGTTTGTGTAAGTACAGTCTACTCTATGATGTTTGCAGAACAAAACCACCCAAGCTGCATTTCTCAGAACATATCCCCATCATTAAGTGACGCAAGACTCTACTTGCAATCCCAATCCTCCAAAATGCAGTTAACTCTTCGTATTTCATCATCCATACACTATTTAACACTTTATTCTGCTTTTATATGTCCTAAACATCTATACATAGTGTTTGCCAGCTTCTGAAATTCTAGGTGTCTGGGAATAGATGTTATATAGTTCTGTTTAGCACTATACTCATTAGATCAAATTTTAAAATTCACCCTAGGCATAACATGCAAATATGGTACAATTATAAGATCCTGGGAAACAGGCTAAACATTTGCTCATCAATTCAAATATTTATTGAGCACCTTTACATGCAAGGCACTGTGCAACAGCTGAGACCAATGATTGCAGTTGGAAACAGAATGGATCTCAAAACCATACTTCCAAGACTGCTTTCCTATTATCTTTTCTACCAGCAGTTTACAATAGAAATTAGTAGAGTTTAGATTTGTCTCAAAATTTTCAACTCATCCCATAGTCCTCCCATCCTCTTAATGCACTACCATCACTATTCTACTCAACACTTATGTGTAAGAGCAGCTCAGTCATGTAATATTAGCTATGCCTCAAATAAAAAGTTGTACTTACCAAATTATTTCCCTCTATTCCAAAAAAATGCATTTTAACTGATTTTTTTCCTCCAACTGGCAGTGAGTCTGAGTATCTTAGCCTTAATTTTCTCTGCACCTAGATATTTGTGTCCATGTAAAATCTCATTAGTAGGCCAGGCACGGAGGCTCACGCCTGTAATCCCAGCACTTTGGGAGGCCGAGCCAGGCGGATCACAAGATCAGGAGATTGAGACCATCCTGGCTAACACGGTTAAACCCCGTCTCTACTAAAAATACAAAAAAATTAGCCAGGCGTGGTGGCGGGCGCCTGTAGTCCCAGCTAGTCGGGAGGCTGAGGCAGGAGAATGGCGTCAACCCAGGAGGCGGAGCTTGCAGTCAGCCGAGATCGCACCACTGCACTCTAGCCTGGGCAACTCCGTCTCAAAAAAAAAAAAAAGGAAAAGAAAAAGAAAAAAAATTATCTAAACCGCTAAACCCAAAATAACACGGGTTGTCTTTCTTGTGTGTTCAAAACATTTTCAAACTTTGGAAGAGCCTAGCATCAGGGATTTCATAATTCCAGGAAAAAACTACTGCATTTACTATAAAATTACACAAAGTGAACAATTTGTACGAAGCTTATATAACTGGACTTGATCTGTTAGTGACCTTAATAGATTAAGAGTAGTTGGATGTCTAAAGGATTCCTTTAAACATTTTTGTTAACTGTCAAACCCTTTAACATATCCTCCCTTAAGAACACCTACTGTCCTTTACCACTAAGACTGTGTTTGTGTACCTTTACTCCCCGAGGTTAACAGGTAAACTGCCTTGCTCATACTGACACTAGAATGATTTTAGAATGACTTCTAAAACAAATACTTGCCATCAGGTTGCACACAATTTTGAAGCCTCCATGTAAAACATGCTACAAGGATTAGAATACCAAAAACCTCCCCCAAATGGCGTATCAGAAACTTTGAGAAAAGGAAAGGATTCCTATGATAAAACCACTTCAGTGGCAGCTCTCTCGAATATGTCGTAGGGAATTAGATTTCTCTACTCCAAGTTGGCACAAACCTCCCAACACCAAGTTCTGCTTTAATTATTTTAACTGATTTATTTCAGGTTTATATAGTCTACCTTTCAATCACCAAACTTCTGTTCTTAGATTTCTAAAAAAATAGTCACTTTTCGAAAGCAGAAAAGGAAAGATATATATATTTAATATATAAAAGAAAATGCTAAATCTGACATAATTATATTCTTAAAAACATTCCATTTATTTACAGATGTATAAAAAGGCGAATTATTGGTCTACTGAGATCATGCTTCTTATAGTGTTAGGGTGAGAGCTCACTGTCTTCCACGTTCCTCAACTCCTCTCACTCAACTTCACCTTTCATAATCACACATGTAATATTCATAGATCAGTTCCCCCTAGGGTAAGGTTAAAGGGTAGGAGTTTTTGGAGACTTTAGATTTCTGTCAAGACTGCAGGATTGTTCTGAAGACTAAGCCCTCCTCAAATTATCCCTGACAACACCTAGCTCTAAGAGGTCTTGAGAACACAGTATCTTGGGGGTTAGAATGGTATCTGCAGCCTTCCCCCTAAAACGCCTGGAATCATACCTCATTTCCATCTTCATACAACTCTCATCAAGAGTCAAGTATCTCCAATCAAGAATCATTACCTATTTACCTATTTTCTTCTTTAAAAAAAAAAAAAAAGGAAGTGTTAAGCTAAAATGGTCCTTCTTTTCCTGAGGATTGTTCACTCACTTGCCTGCTCCTTGGCTGACCCTCAAAAGCCACAAAAAGAGCCTTGGGAAATCAGGAGGAAATGTAGGGAAAAGACAAGCAAGAAAATAATGGGAAACTGCTATACCTGAATTAAAGTACTAGCATCTCTAAGGACAATTATTAGCAGGGGAGACAGGTGCTGGATTCCTTGGCTAAGGCATTGAATGAAATCTGCTGGGTAAAGAGTGGAAGGATAATGAGAAGCTGAGGAGCACTCTTTACCTACTTCAAGCTTCTTTAGTAACCTTTAGAGGAGGGAAGGTTAAGTGCTGATGAGCAGATCTAGAAAGGCAAGCAGCACAAAACCAACAAGAATTTGCTCCCACTGCAATTTGCAGAGGAAGTTCTTCCACCGTTTTCAATCTGTTGATTACCAGAGTTAACAGGGAACCAACCATGGAAATAATAATTCACTGGCTAGATCCAATCCAAAGTTGGTCTCACAACCTAGGTCTGAAGATACGCTGAGTGGGATTTGGGACAAACAAGACAGGAGATATAGAAGAAATAGCATCACCTAGGCACGGCCCAGGCACTGGAAGCTCTTGTGTTAGTGTTGTAACAACACAAGCAAATCCTGTCAGTGAAGACAGAACAGGGGTTACATTCCAAAATATAATTATTTAAGAAAGGCAAAATGCAGCAGCTAAATCCCAGTCTATACAGTTTCAGAATAGTGATTCTTGCCCCCAGGAGTTTCCAAGAGACCCCTCAAGTGCACCATGATTATTTACAAACTAGATAGGAAACATCATTTCTATACTCAATACAAATCTCATCTTCTAGGTTGAAAACTTCAGCCTTTGAGAAATCTATGAAAACAACTATACAAAAATATAAATATCTTTACAGACTGTCAGTCCTTCATATCCTGACAGCTAATGAGTGAAAAAGCTCTACACATCATTGAATCCATGGTTGCAGATAAAAAATATATCTTGTGATTCAAATACTGCCTTATTTCCCTGGTAAAGAGTGCCTACTGTGACTTTTCTTTACATCCTGTGCAGGTAATAGTGAATGAAACCTTCAAGCACCAGGAGGCTGGTTTGATTTGGGAAATTTCCAGCCCCATGATTTTTTATTTTGGCCACTGTCTCTGGTCTGGGGGGATAATGCGTTTTATTTTAGCCGTCTCTTGAGTGACGTAATTTGTGGAAGGGGTAGGGCTCCCTCTATGCCTACCTCCAAAATATATATTCCCAGTAAAAATCCCTGGTACTGCAAAATGAGCTTTTCAATGCCCACAAAAATAATAAGGGAGAACTACTATTTTTTTAAGATCTCAAAATATTTAACTTAATAGTAAAAGTTAAAAGCATCCCTACTTTACCGAAGGCTTGAATTTGTTAATTCTGATTGAAAAGGTGAGGGAATGGGAGCTACTTGGGATATGAAAAAAGAAAATTTTGCTGAATGACACAAAGTCCTTCACTTTGGTATTCCATGGTACACATCCTCTCTCTCCCTATTCTTGAAACATCAACTAAAACGTATCTCTTCTGGATCCCTTTGCACAAGTCCATCACATTCCTTAGATTTCAGACTTAATTCAACAGCTACAAGCTACAGTTCAGTCCACAGCAACTCCAAAGTTGCAAACAGCTCTTTCGCTTGTGGGGGAAGAACTAGAAATCACTGTGGAGCCAGAGTCCTGTTATAAATTCCTTGGGTAAGAGGGGCACCTCGTGTTCAGTAATGGATCACATCTTCTTAGAGAGGATGAGGGGACCCAGCACCACAAGTGAGGTAACACATTTTAACATGATCAGAATTTCAGAGTACTTCTTAATACCAGGGTCAGCACCCTACCCCCTTTCTCCCATCATTATCCACTGCATCATCCAAGTCAAGGATCCAAGTTCCAAGACACAAACAAACAGATGCCTGCAGAGAAAGGAGGTGAGATCAGTTTCCCCTCACAGCCTGG